TATTAAATAGATAATTAAAGTCAGAATATAGAAAAAAAAAATCTAGAAAATATTAAGTATCTAGAAGTAAGAAAAATAAAAATAATATAAAATCTAGAAACTAAGTATTAAAAACAGAAGTATAAATAAGAAAATTAAGAATTAAAATAAAATATAAAATTATAATAGAGCAGATTAACTAGAAGTCTAAATCTAAAATATTTTAATTTATAAATATACTAGTCCCCATATCATTATCTTACCAGAGAAGAAAGATAATATTATAAGATAAGTCTTTATTAAAGAATTTAGTTAATTAATCTTATTATTATTTACTGATTAAATATAGAATATAAAACCTCAGAATCTCTGAGGCCCTGTTCTGAATAGCAGCTATTTCTTCTTATCCAACAGGTGATATACTCTTGGAACCAAGGGGCGACCCCTAACAGATAACTAGTAATTACTGTTATTAAATATTATTAAAGCCTGAGTCTTTAAAATTTAATATAACTTTTAAATTTTAATCTAGTACTAATAATCCCTGTAGAGCAAAATCTTTATATTATAAATTATATTTTAAAAGTAAATTATATTTATTTTTTTTTAAAAGATTTCTAAAAATAAGCCTGCTGGTAAAAAACTAATTATTTCTTATAAAATAAATTACTTCTATATTAAAATAAATTAATAATTTCTAATAAAAGTAATCTACAGGCCTGACTATTAGATAAAATCTACTAATAACTATTACTAGCTTATCCCAGGTAAATAAAGATAATAATATTAATTAAATATTAATACTTCTAGAGTATTTAGAACAGGGATATCTAATACTATATAAATAATTATTTAATTTATAAAAAAAAGAATATATATTAAGATTTATTATTTAAACTACTCTAATCTCTTCTAATTCTTAATCAGCTATGATAATATATATTTATAAATTTCTATTTTTTTCTAAAAGATTATTACAGGTTTAATACTGTTTTTATAATAGTAGACTACCTTAGTAAATATATAATATTTATTTTTTATATAAAATAAATCTTTGTATAAGATATAATCTATTTATTTATTAATTAAATTTATATTTAAATAAGATTTTCTGATATTATTATTTTTAACTAAAAAAAATAATTTATAGCTAATTTTTAAAATAAACTATACTGAATCCTGCAGATTAAGTTAAAGTTTTTAATAATATATTATTTATAGATTAATAGATAAATAAAAATTATTAATTAATATATAATCTAGTAATTTATTTTATTTATTAATTATTTCCAGGATAACTAGTTAAAATTATTATTATTTATTAATTTTATTACTACAGCTCTGTTCTATAAATCTATTAAATTATCTTTATTTATAATTAAAAAAAATATAAATTCTAAATATTATTTAACTAGATTTTTCTAGTAAATCTACTATTATATACTATTATTTAAGACTAAGTCTGTGAATTTACTTACTATATAAAGTAAATCTAGATTTTTATATAAAATAAAATTTAGAAAGCACAGGACTAGTAAATATAATAAATTAATTAATTTTATTATTTTATTAATTTTAATATTAATAATAAAATTTTTATTAATATTTATAATTAGAGATGGGGCCAGCCCTTGTAAAAATTATTAGAAAATTAATATAATTTTATATCTATTATTAATAAGATTAGTAATATATATAAGATTTATTTTCTTAAAAATATATATATATACTCTATCTTTTATCCTAAGAAACTTTATTTATATAATATATTTAATTTATTATTAAAATAGATCTAAAATACTACTATACCCATTAAAGTTAATAATTAGATAGAATAAAAAATTAAAAAAATTATAATTGGTTATTTATAATATAATTATCTTTAGTATAAAATTAAATAGCTAGTATTTAATATAACTGATTATATCTAGTATTTAATAGAGAATTTTAAAAATATCTTCTTCTATTTTTAAAATTATTATATAAAATATTTTATTTATTCTAGACCCCCTAAGTGCTTCCTGTAATAGTTAATAATTATAAAGATTAATAAATTTATATTAAAATATAAAGAAATTAACTTATCTCTGACTGAGGACAGCTAGATCTAAATAAAAAAATAATATAATAATAAGTAATATCTCAGAATTATATGACTTTTATTTTATTTATTTTATTTATGTGGAAGCCAATCAAATAGTCAAATTTAATGCTATTTAATAAGAATTTCTAGTATAAGGAAAGAAAAAAAGAAGCTCAGGAAGAATATATAATTATATAAAGATAAATAAGTTATACAAGACAGGTAAACAAAGTAAATAAAATAAAAATTATATAATTCTAAGATATTACTTGCTATTATATTACTTCTTTATTTAGATCTAGTTATTCTTAACTAAAGATAAATTATCTTCTTTATATTCCAGTATAAATTTATTAGTCTCTGTAACTATTAATTATTATAAAAAATACTTAGAAGATCCGGGACAGATAGAATATTTTATATAATAATTTTAAAAATAAAAAAAAATATTCTTAAAATTTCCTGCTGGATACTAGATATAATTAACTATATTAAATACTAGCTATTTAATTTTATACTGAAAGTAATTAAATTATAAACAACTAGCTAGAATATTTTTAATCTTTTATTTTATTTAATTATTAACTTTAATAAATATAACAGTATCTTAAATCTATTTTAATAATAAATTAAATATATTATATAAGCAGAGCTTCTCAGGATAAAAAATAAAATATATATATATATCTTTAGAAAAATAAATCTTATATATATTATTAATCTTATTAATAATAAGTATAGAATTATATTAATTTTTTAATAACTTTTATAAGAGCTAGCCCCATCTCCAGTTATAGATATTAATAAAGACTTTATTATTAATATTAAAATTAATAAATTAATAAGACTAGTTAACTTATTATATCTATTAGCTTTATATTTTTTAAATTTTATCTTATATAAAGATCCAGATCTGCTCTATACAGTAGATAAATTTATAAATTTAATCTTAGATAATAATATATAATAATAGATCTACTAGAAAAATCTAGTTAAATAATATTCAGAATTTATATTCTTTCTTAATTATAAATAAAAATAATCTAGTAAATTTATGGAGCAGAGCCGCGGCAGTAAAATTAATAAATAATAATAATTTTAATTAATTATTCTAAAAATAATTAATAAATAAAATAAATTATTAGACTATATATTAGTTAACAATTTTTATTTATTTATTAATCTGTGGATGATATGCTGTTAAAAACTTTAATTTAATTTATAAAATTTAATATAATTTATTTTAAAAATCAGCTATAAATTAATCTTTTTAATTAAAAATAATAATATTAGAAGGCCCTGTCCAGGTATAAATTTAGTTAATAAAAAAACAGACTATATTTTATATAAAGATTTATTTTATATAGAAAATAGATATTATATATTTATTAAAACAGTTTATTATTATAAAAATAATATTAAACCCGTGATAATTCTTTGGGAAGAAGTAGAAGTTTATAAATATATATTATTATAACTAATCAAAAATTAAAAAAGATTGGAGTAGTCCAGATAATAAATTTTAATATATATTTTTTCTTTTATAAATTAGATAATTATTTATATAATATCAGATATCTCTGTTCCAAGTACTCTAGAAATATTAATATTTAATTAATATTATTATCTTTATTTACCCAGAGTGAGCCAGTAATAATTATTAATAAATCTTATTTAATAACCAGATTTATTAATTATTTTTATTAAAAATTACTAGTTTATTTTAATATAGAAGCAGCCTATTTTATAAAAAGTAATTAATCTTTTACTAATAGACTTATTTCTAGAGATCTTTTAAAAAAAAATAGATACAGTTTACTCCTAGAATATAATTTATAATATAAAGATTTTATTTTATAGAAATTACTAGTACTGGATTAAAAGCTATATCAGATTTTAGAGATTCAGGCTTTAATAATACTTAGTAATAATAATTACTGGTTATTTTTAAATTAGTTTTTTTCTATATAAAATAGTTTACTAATATATTATTTTTTTTTAATTAATATTTAATAATAAAATAATATTAAGATAATATCTCCGTCTAATAAGCCTGCCAGATATTAAACTTTTTTATAATTATAAAATATTCCAGGACTCAGTAGTCTGTAAAAATTATAAATTTTTTAAATTATTATAAGTTCTCTAGTTCTGCTCTCTATTTTATAAAAATATATATAATAATTAATATTTTTTTATTATAAATATTATAATTACACTCGGGTGAAGACATAATCTTTAAATAATAAATTATAAGATATTATATATTCTTAACCTGCTGGTAAAGAACTCCTATAATTATTTTATTAATTATATTAATTTTAATATATATAAATCTAGATAAATTATAATAAATTAATATAGAAACTAATATTAGAATCTGCTTTAAGACCTGGAAGATTATTTTATAAAACTAGTTTTAAATAAATAAAATATTCTTTTAAATAAACTGATTTATAGGCTTGATAATCTAGCTGTAATTTCTTATAAAATACTAATAAAAATTATAGAATTTAAAAAATAATTAGATTCTTTTAATAATAATTAAATATTATTATTCTATAATTATAACAGTTTTTACAGGATTAATCTAAATATCTATAATAATAATAATAAAATCTAGAAATCTAATTTTTATTATATAAAATTTATATTTATAAATCACTGCTTAGAGTCTGGTTATTTAAAGATATTTAAGAATCTAGCAGATATAAAACTTATACTTTATCTTATTTTTATTAAAGATTAATATATTATTTATATATACTATAATAAACTTGTCTAAGAAGTCTATAAAAATCTTATTAATAAAATATTAAAAAACTACTAGTCTATTTATAAGTTTAAATAATAATACTTAATACTTAAAGATTCTATAGCAGGTTCAGAAAATAGTTAAGTCTTTAAATTCAGAATTTATATAAATATAATAAAAGTCTTAATAAATATTAAATTTTATAAATATTTTTATATTCTGGAGACGGTCTATTATCTTATTAATTAAAAAAATAAAATAAAGATTCTTATAGATTAGAGTATTAAGCTTCTGATAATTAATATATAAATATAATTTTTCTCTAGATTTCTTTATTATTAAAATAAAAGAAATAAATAGGACTGTATTAAATATAATAAATTTTTTTTTTAGATTTTTAATAATATAATTATAGATGGCTTCAAGTTCTTCTAAAATTATTTTATAAAAAAAAATTATTTCTAATAGATTATTTTTTTTTAATTAAATATAATAATTATAGGATCAGAAGATAAGCAAAATATCTAACTTCTTTTTAAAAAAGATATTTATTAGATTATAATAATATTTAGAAAAAGTCTGTTTTATCTCTTCTTTTTTAATTAATTTAAATATTTTATAATAAAGATCTGTCTTCTCTGTAATAGTCTTCTTAATTATATTTAAAAATATAATAAATATTTTTAATTCAGAATTCTAAAGATATTTGTGGAAAGCAGTAGTCTTAATAAAAATTATCTTAATTTTTTTTAAGATATTTCTTTTCTGGGGATTCTAAAAAATTTTAAAAACTTAATATTAGAAATTCTAGTTTACTAAATTTTAATATATTTTAACTAAAATCTTTTATAATATACTTTAGTGGGTTCAGGATACTTCAGACTTTACTTTAAAAAAAAATATTTATAATAAGATATTAATTATTTTTTAGAAGTTGTAATCTTATTAGATAATATCTTATTAATAATTCTAATTAATTAAATATTATAATAAAATATTCCAGGAAATTTATTATAATAATCTAATCTTAATTTTATCTTATAAAAAAAATAATTAAATTATACTAGCTTATTTTACTAGCAATCTAGCAAGATCTCTTATTTTATAAATTATATTTATCTTAAGATAATATTATAGCAGCCTAATTTAAATATTAGAAATAATATATTATAAAACTAGTATTCATTAATTATAAGTATAAATTAAATAATATAGATTAAAAATATTATAGCCTTGCTATCAAAACCTGTAATAATATAATTAATTTTAAAAAAAATAATATTAATTCAGAATTAATAAGCTACCTAAATAATAAAAATAATATTTATATAAATATAAATATTAATTTTAATATTAATAAGAATATATGTAGATACTGCTAGTCTATTATTTAATATTAAAGTTTTAATAATAAAGTTTTTATTCTCTTGGTCTAGCAGATCTTATAAATTTAATAAATTAATATTAATATTTATTTTATTTAGAAAGAAGATTTCTTTTAAATATTATTTTTTATTAAATTACTATTCTCTATTATCTTTAATAACTTAATTTAATTTATTTTCTTTTTTAGATAATTCTAAGTTAAGTCTTTCTGTTCTTAACAGATAAAGTAGTATTCTTTAATTATTATATAAGTATATTTCTCTAGTTCTATACTGGTAGTGCAGCTAATATTATAAAAGATCTTAACTAGAATAGAAAAAATTATGATTATAATAATAATAATAATTAATATAGATAGCTGGTGACTTAGAATATTTATTTTATTATAATATTTTATTATATTATTAATTAAATTTAATAATCAGGTACACTTCTTAACATATTACTTAAATATTATATTATTATTATTAAAATAGAATATAACCAGCTCCTGTAATTTAGACAGAAAATATTAATAAAGATTTTTTTTCTAATAAATTTTAATAATACCTGTCTCTACGGCAAGATAATAAAATATAAATATAAAATTATAAAATTTATTATTAATTATTATCTTAAGCTTCTAATATTATTGGCGCATGTTATAAAACTTATTTAAATTAATATAAATAACTTTCAGATGTTCAAGCATGTCAGTTATATTTATATAAAAATTTAAAATATTAGAATAGAATTAAAAAATTAAATATTTTTTAGTATTACTTTTATAATAACTAGTTATATAAGCTTATCAGACAGTAATTATATTTAAATAGTCTATAATAGCTTCCAGCTTTTACTATATTATAAAAAGCTAATCTTCAAAGCTAATAACCTTGCTATTACTAAATAAAAATAAATTAAAGATCTTTATTAATTTCTTAAATTTAGAGATTTCAGCTACTCAGCTACTCTGATTATTAAATTAAAAAAGCTGGATAATATATAGATTATATTTATATATTAATTTATTATAATTATTATTAAGCTTATCCTGCTAACAGATAATCTTATATATTTTTATCTTTATTTTTTTTATAATATAAAGAATCATGTTAAAGATTTTATCAGGATTCTTTATATATAATTTATAAAACTAGTTATAAATAATATTTTTTCTGTTATCAAGCTCTTCTTCTAGTAAAATTATTAGATATTATTAAAAATTTATAGTATTTAATATTAATTTAGTATAGCTTTCTCTAGTTATTATAAGTATTCTTATTAATTATTTTAGTTTAAGTCTTAGTTAGATTATTTTATCTTAGTCATATTTAGTATTACTAAGCATATGTAAGAAATAATATTGGCTATTAAATTAAATAGCTAGTAGTATATAATATCAACTTAGAAAATAGATAATAAAATAATATTAGAAATTATATAAAAACTGATTAAATAATTAAATTTAATATTATTTAACAAGAATTTCTAGTATAAAAAAAGAAAAAAAAAAGTTTAGAAAAAACATATAATTATATAAAGATAAGCAAGCTATATAAGACAGACAAATAAAGTAAATAAAACAAAAATCATGTGACCCTGAGATGTCACTCACTGTCACAATTTACCTGTCTTGTATAACTTATTTATCTTTATATAATTATATATTCTTCCTGAGCTTCTTTCTTTCTTTTCTCATGCTAGAAACTCTTGTTAGATAACATCAAATTTGACTATTTAATCAGCTTCCACACTATTATCTTATTAATTAAAGGAATAAAATAAGGATCCTTATAGATTAGAATATTAAATTTCTGGTAATTAATATATAAATATAATTTTTTTTTAAGTTTTTTTATTATTAGGATAGAAGAGATAAACAAGATTATATTAAATATAATAATTTTTTTTTTAGATTTTTAATAATATAATTATGGGCACCTTCAAGTTCTTCTAGAATTATTTTATAAAAAAGAATTATTTTTAACAGATTACTTTCTTTTAATTAGATATGATAGTTATGGGGTTAAAAAACAAATAAAATATTTAATTTTTTTTTAAAGAAAATATTTATTAGATTATAATAATATTTAAAAAAAATCTACTTTATCTTCTCTTTCTTAATTAATTTAGATATTTTATTATCGGGATTTATTTTCTCTATAATAATTTTCTTGATTATGCTCAGGGATGTAATAAATATTTTTAATTTAAAATTTTAAAAATATTTATAAAAGATGATAATTCTAATAAAAGTTATCTTAATTTTTTTAAAAATATTTTTTTCTTAAGGGCTCTGGAGGAGTCTATAAATTTAATATTAAAAATTCTAATTTACTAGATTTCAGTATATCTTAATTAAGATCTCTTATAAAATACTTTAGTAGATTTAAAATATTTCAGATTTTATTTTAAAAAGAAAATATCTATAATAAAATATTAATTATTTTCTGGAAATTATAGTCTTATTAGATAGTATTTTACTAGTAATTTTAATTAATTAAATATTATAATAAAATATTCTGGAAGATTTATTATAATAATCTAGTCTTGATTTTATCTTATAAAGAAAGATAGTCAGATTATATTAACTTATTTTACTAGTAATTTGGTAAGATTTCTTATTTTATAAATTATATTTATCTTAAAATAATATTATAGTAATCTAATTTAAGTATTAAAAATAATATATTATAAAATTAATATCTGTTGACCATGAGCATAAGTTAAATAATATAAATTAAAAATATTATAATCTTATTATTAAAGTCTATAATAATATAATTAGTTTTAAAAAAAATAATATTAATTCAGAATCAGTAGGTTATCTAAATAATAAAAATAATATTTATATAAATATAAGTATTAGCTCTGGTGTTAGTAAGAGTATATATAAATATTATTAATCTATTATTTAATATTAGAATTTTAATAATAAAATTTTTATTCTCTTGGCCTAGCAGATCTTATAAATCTAATAAATTAATATTAATACTTATTTTATCTAGAAAAAAGATTTCTTTTAGATACTATTTTTTATTAAATTATTATTTTTTATTATTTTTAATAACTTGACTTAATCTGCTTTCTTTTTTAAATAATCCTGGACTAAATATTTCTGTTTCTAGTAAATAAAATAATATTTTTTAATTATTATATAAATATATTTTTCTAGCTTTATGCTGGTAGCACAGCTGGTATTATAAAAAATCTTAATTAAAATAAAAAAAAAGAAAATTATAATAATAATAGTAATTAATATAAGCAGCTAGTAATTCAGAATATTTATCTTATTATAATATTTTATTATATTATTAATTAAGTCTGATAATCAGGTACACTCCTTAATATACTACTTGAATATTATATTATTATTATTAAAATAAAATATAGTCAGCTTCTGTAGCTTAAATAGAAGATATTAATAAAAATTCTTTTTTTAATAAATTTTAATAATACCTGCCTCTACAGTAAGATAATAAAATATAAATATAAAATTATAAAACTTATTATTAATTATTATTTTAAGTTTCTGATACTGTCAGCGCATGTTATAAGACTTATTTAAATTAATATAAATAATTTTTAAATATTCAAGCATGTTAATTATATTTATATAAGAATTTAAAATATCAGAATAAAATTAAGAGACTAAATATTTTTTAATATTATTTTTATAATAATTAGTTATATAAGCTTATCAGATAATAATTATATTTAAATAATTTATATTAACTTCTAGCTTTTATTATATTATAAGAAACCAGTCTTCAAAATTAATAATTTTATTATTATTAAATAGAGATAGATTAGAGATCTTTATTAATTTTTTAAATTTAAAAATCTCAGCTATTCAGCTATTCTAGTTATTAAGCTAGAAAAGCTAGATAATATATAAATTATATTTATATATTAATTTATTATAATTATTAGTAAGTTTATTCTACTAGTAGATAACTTTATATATTTTTATCTTTATTTCTTTTATAATATAAAGAATTATATTAAAGATTTTATTAAAGTTCTTTATATACAGTTCATAGAACTGGTTATAAATAATATTTTTTTTATTATTAAACTTT